TTATCTATTGCATTTTACTTAGTTTACAATGTATATGATTTGTTGATTGTGTTTTGTAAGATATTTTAACCTATTTAGACACGTCTATTTAAACCTGCAACACCGACAATTGTTCCACAATGCTAGCTGAAAAATCAGAAGTAAAAATGTTCATTTAAAATACAATAATCATATGAGTTCACTTCGAACAATTCACAGATTTAAAAGTGTTAATGATGCACTGTAAATATTTTTTTACAGTTAAGAACCCGTACATTATTTAAAACTATTCCGCATAGGCCTATATTACTACTAGTTTAACGCCAGCGTTAATATAGCAAACGCCGTTTGTGTGAACACTTTGGAATTATAATCCGTGGATTAGCTTACGCTGGCGTAGGCTACGCTAGTCTTATGCCATGTGTGAACATACCCTTAGTATAGCTGACCTTGCATGGGCAATAAATTACAGAAGCTATGATTATAATTCAATTAAAAGAGCAACTACCATAGATAGACCTGATGTCCCAAATGATGGTTAGAAATCAGGAAAATTGGTAAAGGCATGGAGGTATAAAAATAGTTGTCTATGTTTATACCTCCATGGTAAAGGGTAGAAACATCTCATGGAACAATATCCATAATCGATGAACACATCACAATGATTTGCACAACAGGTTGTAATGGTTAACAAGAAATGAAAACAAAAATTAGATAACAATGGTGATGGCTTATTTTTTAACCAAACATAATTTTAGACTTCCAATTATAAAATGTGCTAGCAGCTGTGTCTATATCTCTACCACGAAATTGACATCCAATAATTACTGTAGTAAATAACTTGCAAGTACTTCTTGTGTTAAAATCATAAATTGTATCATAGTTTCCATTATTTTCAATGGCATTTATTTTATACTTGTATCGATAGTTTGTTTTTTTTTAAACTCATATTTGCTAATGTTAAATTGTTTATATAAGTTGACAATTTTTTTAAAATTTCATTTTACAGGTATTTCTCCTTTTCTTATAATTTAAATCTAATTTAATTTCTATTATTGTTTTTTTAATGATTTTAAAAAAATTATTTAAACAGCTTTAGCTTTATTTTAATGTTCAAGTCAAGGAATATTTATTTCACTTTTGTCATATAATATAATAATTTGTACAGTATGTGATGATAATTCATAATAATAAAGAGAATATAAGTACAAGGAAATGATCAATTCGTGAAAAAGGAACTCTGCAAATAAGCAAGCTTTTAGTTGCAGAGCCCTAAAGCCCTAATGTTAATAATGTATTGTATATATATTGTATTATTGTGTATTGTTTGTATGGCATTATGTAACTATTGCAATTTAATGGAAACGCTCCAATGACAATAGTTTTTTTATTTCTAAATTTATCTATCAAACACATTAAAGTAGTTATTTTTTGTTGCATGTACTCAATATTATAGGCCTAGGCCCTAGGTTCAGGTAGGCCTACTTTGTTTCATGTCAATTAGAGACAACAGGATTATACAATTTCATACAGTATATCTTGTAAATTACACAATCATGATTAAACCAGGTACTGTACTTGAAAACAATAAGGAAGTAAAACTTACACATCAAAAGTGTCAAATATTGTCTACACAAAAACTGTACTTTATTAAAAGAGTAAGTCTAGAGACGAGGGGTTTCATCAATGGAGATGTGCACACATATCAGTGTACTGTGGTCATTTTGCATGGGGTTGTCTGACAGCACATACCTGCTGACCTTGATAGAGAGTGACTGATTGCGTGAAAGTTTCCATGCTGGTGCATTTATTTTTACGGCATTTCAACGGATATTCGTCACCTCGTGTGAACCATTCTGAGCTCTGCTTACCAAAAATACGCGATAATCTCGCGATAGTATTAGCATTTGCTTTTGTTTTGTTTTACATTTACATCCAGCGTTAGGCCCACTGAATTGTTTAAATGCTTAAATAATTGAAAACATAAATTATGTGGTTTAAATTATCATAGAATTTACAATAAAACTTATAATTTATAAGATTATTTTTTGAAACAGAATAAAATAGGTAACATTTTATTGAAAAAAAAACACCATATTTTACATAGATGTATGTTGATTTAAAATGCTGAATCATTATTAATGATATATACATATTATATATTTCTATAAATTAATCAACAAATATCTCAATTATCACACTATCGTAAATAGAACTATTGAAGTATTATTAATTCTTTATGCATTATTCGAGCACCTTTATTATTATTATTATTATTACTATTATTATTTTATTTATAATTTTTGTTGTATTTTTTAGTTTTATGTATGGGCCTAGGCATATGTTCAATTCAAATTTCAATTCAATTCAAATTAATTTCAGGTTAAAATTACAATCAAAATTACAATTAAAAAAGACAATAAAAACAGAAACAAAAACAAAGAGTGCTGCCAAACCAGGATAACCAAAAGTACACAAAAGTGCCATTGTCATGTGGCTCTCCAAGGTAGCACTCAACACACAGAAAACAACACAAAAGATATAATAGATATCATTTAGAAAAATATAATATTAAAAGAATGTAATATAAAATAATATTGCAATATCTCATAATTATTAAGTGACCACGATGCAAAATCAGGATCAAACAGGCACATACAGAATTAATGAATCTCAACATTTTCGTTGAGAAATAATTTTGTAAGTTTAATGAAATAGTTGCTCGAGAAAAGCAAGGAGCATCTAACTTCATCAGGGAGGGAATTAAAAAGTTAGTACTAAAATGAATATATGGGGAAAATTTGTATATATTTAAAAATTAGAAATAATCATAATTAATTGTAAAACATATATAATATAATGTTAACAATAATAATAGGCTAGCTAGTCTAGACCATACTAATTATTGATACCATAATCTATTGATAAAAACATCCATGTGATTAATTAAACAGAAGCTTTTCGAGTGGCAGTGTCGATAGAAAACTGCAGTTTTTTGGCACTGTGACAGTGCCGATACAAAATCGGAGCTTTTTTCACACTGCGGCAATGCAGATAGAAAAGTAACAGCTTTTTTTCTCACTGTGGCAGTGCCTATAGAAAACAGCATCTTTTTCGCACTGCGGCAGTGCCGATAGAAAACAGCAGCTTTCTGGCACTGCGGCTGTGCCGATAGAAAACAGCAGCTTTCTGGCACTGCGGCAGTGCCGACAATAAGATTGACTTGGTAGACTTGAAACACTAAATTTATTATTCACATGAAATTTTTCGGCCTGTCCTCAGGCCTTCTTCAGCATGAGTGACAAACATTAAGGTAAGTTGGCTGTTACAAAAATCTCGATATAATATGAAGAATAAATTGATTGGTCGAAAATTTTAACAAAGTATGTATAATGCACATGGTGATAGGCTAAAAAATACTAGGAGGCGGAGTAAATAACGAATAACTAACTTGGAGGTATAATAGCAATGAAGCTGATAGCGTGTGTGGGAACGTGGATCCCAGTCAACAATTCTAAGGAAGGAGATAAACAAAAATTAACAATAAAGGAGCTGCTCTGATAGCGATGAAGCTTTAACCTAACAAGTAAAGTATAAACAGTACTAAAGTAATGATTTAAGAACAGTTTTAAACAGAGGTAAAAATACGGAAATGAAAAATATACAGTAAAAAATATATATACGGAGATATAGATAGGCCATATAGGTGAATAGGAGTCTAGAATAAATTAACAGCAATCAAAATATTATAAAAATGTTATATAGAAAAATGTGATATAAACATAATACAGTATATCATCTGTCTCTTATACACATCTGTCATATTATCGAAGGACTTGTCCAGTTGTTTAAGCTACCTTTGTGTTTTTTTTAAATAAAAATGTTTTCTTCCCCATTGTTGTATCATGCTGAGGGTTCTTTCTATTCTCAAGAGAAGTAGTCTTTTATACGATTTTTGGTTTTTTGACACTAATGACCCCAATGTGACCCTTGACCACAGTTGTGAACACCCCGCCGTAAATGGGAGGTGGCACCGGTCCTACTGAGACAAGTTTTAATAAAATCAGTCCAGTAGTTTGCCAATAGTAGCCTTTTAAAATGTTACCAAAAAGAAAGAAACTCCACAGAAACAGAACTTAGTCAGCCTGCTGCTGGGTAAATATTATTCATTATTATTATTATTGTTCATTATTGTCTAGCGCATAGAGACCTCGTTTATTTGCGCTATATAAATCCATCTATTATTATTATTATTATTATTAAATATTATTTTTTAATACAAAAATTCCTTGACAAACTGAAGTTTTTCCCCCACCAGGAAGTGGGGGTGGGCTGGGCTACCTCGACGATTCGGTCCCAACATTCGGGTGTATACCCCTTGTCGAAGAACTTGGACCCAATTGTTGGGGAGTTTGGATCAATTGTAGGGGAATTCCTAGCGCAGCCCCTGTGTGAAATTCCTATAAAATGGGTTAATGAAGCAATGCTACTAAAAAGTACAAAAAAGGTGTTGAATTTACTATGGTTGATCAAAATTTATTTAAAATACAGCTTTAGATTGTCTGTTTTGAAACACTCATATACTATGCATCGTATAGTAGGTGCTGCTATATCAAATTATTCTTTTTCAAATAAATATTATTGTGAAAGAAAATCCACTATGGTGAATAACTTGCATTGAAAAGCATGAACTTTGTGTCTAGACAACAATAGAATCACAATCCAATTCTCTTTTTGTTGCCTCAGTATCTGTGACTTCTTGAAGCCATACATAATAGCCACAGACCATGTAAAATCAGCGACATGGAGTCACAAATGCTATTTTTATGCTAATGCACCATTATGATTTTGTTTTAATAATAAACAAGCCACTTTATTCTGCATACATGGATAAAAACTGGTACTCCAAGATTTATCTGTTAGTTATTGCTACAGTATATGCTGAGGTGGATTGCATTATAAAAATTGTACAAATTCTAAAGTCTAAAGGCAGGTCAAATTAAACCAAGACGCGTCAAGTAATGGACAAAGTTGCCAATGAAGTCATCTCAGCGGAAATGTTTGACACATTAAGGCAGTTCTGTTTTATAAAGATTACAGATGAACTAATTAATAGAGTGTTTAGAAAGGCAGACTACTCACATCAAATTTACACTGTTGGAAGTAATAGTGAAGGCATTCCTTATTCAGCCATGAATGATGAGGATATTATGATATATAACAGAGCGTTCCCAATAGTATGGTGGAACTCCCAAGAAAAAGACAGAGAGGCAGTTGTAATGGCTGAGCAAGATTCAAATATACCTCCTGTGTATTTGAGGCTAAAGGTACTAGACAAAGGGTGTCTTGATAAGGACTTCAAAAGTATCATTGATAATGACGGATATGTGAACGCCACTGATTTCATAAAATTGAATGCAACTTACATGAATTTAAACTATACTGATGAAATGAGACAAGGTCCTTCAATATCAATTAACGCAATACCAAAATGTGTGGATGTTATAAACAAGCATGACAGCGTATACTGCCTAAAATGTCAATCATGGCCACCTTTTATTAGTGATTTTTTTTTTATTAGAAAGAGGCTGAACAACTGGCCAGCCCAGAAGTTGTTAGATAAGGTCAAATGTCTAGAATGTCATGTAGTTCCTATTGGATACCCAGGCAGCGAGTCATTTGATGTTGAATGGAGGTTGTCATTTTCTGTAGCTGAGAAACAGCTTGTTATTGAAATGTATGAACCATACAGTAAATGCATGTTTGCCCTGAAATCAATCAAGAAAAAGTACATAATATACAGTGACTCTGATAAACCAACACCATTTTGCTCGTATTTCATAAAGACTGCCTGTTTGTGGATGTGTGAAACATTTCCACATAAAGATTACAGTCTCATGGATTTAATTAGGGAAACTCTAGATTGGCTCATCGACTGCTATGAAAGCAAACATCTGCCTCACTATTTTATTCCCCAACACAATTTGATTGGTCATCTCTCTATGGAATGTTGTGACAATGTAAGAAAAACATTGACAGCAGTTAAGAGAACACTTTGGAGTATGGTGTTATTAAGTGCTAGTGATGATCATTTTGCATTTAACACTGTGTGTGACAAACTCAAGGTAACTAGAGAAAACAATGCTGATTACAATGCAATAGAAACCAAAATCTTGAATCACCCAAAAGCTACAGCGGTCTTTAAAGAAACAGTTAAATCTTTACGCCACAATTACAATTTAATAAATTTTTCAAACATGTCAATATGGGGCGACCACAGCTTTACTTATACGCCTATATTGGTTGCGAGAAAAATGCAGCCTGAGTGTGGTTTAGATATTCTAGAAGACACCGTATTGCCAATTGTAGACCTATGTCAAATTGAAGAGATAGTGCCAAAGGGATTTGTAGAAATGTTCAAGACATGTTTGTATAGATATTTAGGCGATGCTGTTACTCATTTATTGGTAAGCTTTATAAACAAAGGTTATGAAACAGCTGTATCTTCGTACATGAATGCTCCTTTGCATTACTATGACTTAGGACATGAAATTATCTTCCCTGGTAGGTACAGTGACTATGGCATAGTTGGTGAGGTTCTTGAAGTACAATACCATTATTTAATGGGTAACTACGAAGGTTTGAAGAAGAAGTGTGAGTCTATTCTTACTACAGTTACAGAAAACAAAAACTATGTGGTCTCTTGTCTTAAATTCCATCAAAAACATTTTGAAACAAACGTTTGTGCCTGGGAAGTTGATGAACTTTTGCATCATCTTGTCATTTGTTGCCATACAATGCATATTTACGTATCACCAATTGCACTGGTTTATTATATAAAAGCCAGAGTGTTACTTAAAGAGGGGGACACAGACAATGTACTGACTCTTGTGAAAAAGATGAAGATCATATATAAAGAATTTAATGATCATCCTGCTTATCTTGAGTCCATGAAAATGTTTATAAATATCATTGAAAGTCTACTAGGCCTTCTTGGTGTAATGAGAAGAATATTTACTTTTCAAAATGAGAATAGCTTGTGTAATGTAGTATCAATTAGGTTCAATGGTATTAACTTGCATAACCATTGAAATCGATACCCTTCACCTGATAAATGCCTTAAATTGGTTTGACAGTTTTAATGGTCAACTTGAGTATACAGATAATCTAATAATATAACTGGACTTTGTATAACTTTACCCTAGTCAGTTTGACTTGGCCTTTCTCACACTATGAATCTATGATTGTCAGTTTTGAGCCTAAGCTCTGAAGTTTGTGATACATCTTAATTAGTAGTTTTTTGGTAAACGAGTTACTAAATCATAGAGAAAGAATTTCTCAATGATCCAATCAGAAACTCTAAAATTATGGGATGACTTACTTGAGATACACCCCCATTACCTAAAGTATAATAGGCAAACACCCCCATATCACTGAGTCAGTGATCAGGAGTTAGTGATCAGTAGTCAGTAGTTAGATTCAACACAGAAGAAAAGTACAGGGCTGAGCTGACTCCACTCTAAAAGGGTTCTCTAACATCTGAAACCTGGAGTTTAGCTGATTGTAACCAACATACAGTTTGTGTGAATAAAAGTTTGCAGTGTACTAAAAGGAACTGTGCATACTACTCATAAAAAGTCGACAACAACTAACCAATATCTAACACTTGTAATGGAGGAAACGTTAATTAAATTAATCGATGCATGCTGTTGCCCTTCCCTTTACCACAATTTTCAGCAATTATCAAAAGAGACAGCCAAATCTGTAGTTAGTTTTCCTGCAATTGTCAATAAAAATCACATAGGCATACCTATAGTATGGTATTAGGGCATGTTCACACACACAGCGTTAGTTAACGCCACGGAGCTAACGCCAGCGATGCTTGAATAATTTGACCTCATTTCAAGAGACTGACCAATCACGATTGCACTATAAATGAAATGGTAAAGTGGTCCTTTTTATCTATTGCATTTTACTTAGTTTACAATGTATATGATTTGTTGATTGTGTTTTGTAAGATATTTTAACCTATTTAGACACGTCTATTTAAACCTGCAACACCGACAATTGTTCCACAATGCTAGCTGAAAAATCAGAAGTAAAAATGTTCATTTAAAATACAATAATCATATGAGTTCACTTCGAACAATTCACAGATTTAAAAGTGTTAATGATGCACTGTAAATATTTTTTTACAGTTAAGAACCCGTACATTATTTAAAACTATTCCCCATAGGCCTATATTACTACTAGTATAACGCCAGCGTTAATATAGCAAACGACGTTTGCGTGAACACTTTGGAATCATAATCCGTGGATTAGCTTAGTTTTTACGCCATGTGTGAACTTACCCTTAGTATAGCTGACCTTGCATGGGCAATAAATTACGGAAGCTATGATTATAATTCAATTAAAATAGCAATTACCATAGATAGGCCTTAAAGAGCAATTACCATAGATAGGCCTGATGATGTCCCAAATGATGGTTAGAAATCAGGAAAATTGGTAAAGGCATGGAGGTATAAAAATAGTTGTCTATGTTTATACCTCCATGGTAAAGGGTAGGAACAATATCCATAATCGATGAACACATCACAATGATTTGCACAACAGGTTGTACAATAATGTTCAACAAGAAATGAAAACAAAAATTAGATAACAATTGTGATGACTTATTTTTTAACCAAACATAATTTTAGACTTCCAATTATAAAATGAGCTAGCAGCTGTGTCTATATCTCTACCACGAAATTGACATCCAATAATTACTGTAGTAAATAACTTGCAAGTCCTTTTTGTGTTAAAATCATAAATTGTATCATAGTTTCCATTATTTTCAATGGCATTTATTTTATACTTGTATCGATAGTTTGTTTTTTTTAAAACTCATATTTGCTAATGTTAAATTGTTTATATAAGTTGACAATTTTTTTTAAATTTCATTTTACAGGTATTTCTCCTTTTCTTATAATTTAAATCTAATTTAATTTCTATTATTGTTTTTTTAATGATTTTTTAAAAATTATTTAAACAGCTTTAGCTTTATTTTAATGTTCAAGTCAAGGAATATTTATTTCACTTTTGTCATATAATATAATAATTTGTACAGTACGTGATCATAATTCATAATAACAAAGAGAATATAAGTACAAGGAAATGATCAATTCGTGAAAAAGGAACTCTGCGAATAATCAAGCTTTTAGTTGCAGAGCCCTAAGCCTTAATGTTAATAATGTATTGTATATATATTGTATTATTGTGTATTGTTTGTACGGCATTATGTAACTTTTGCAATTTAACGGAAAGGCTACAATGACAATAGTTTTTTTATTTCTAAATTTATCTATCAAACACATTAAAGTATTTGTTGCATGTACTCAATATTATAGGCCTAGGCCCTAGGTTCAGGTAGGCCTACTTTGTTTCATGTCAATTAGAGACAACAGGATTATACAATTTCATACAGTATATCTTGTAAATTACACAATATGATTAAACCAGGTACTGTACTTGAAAACAATAAGGAAGTAAAACTTACACGTCAAAAGTGTCAAATGTTGTCTACACAAAAACTGTACTTTATTAAAAGAGTAAGTCTACTGAAGGGGTTTCGTCAATGGAGATGTGCACACATATCAGTGTACTGTGGTCACTGTGCATGGGGTTGTCTGACAGCACATACCTGCTAACCTCGATAGAGAGTGATTGATTGCGCAAAAGTTTCCATGCTGGTGCATTTATTTATATGGCACTGTGACAGTGTCGATACAAAATCGGAGCTTTTTTCACACTGCGGCAATGCAGATAGAAAAATAACAGCTTTTTTTCGCACTGTGGCAGTGCCTATAGAAAACAGCAGCTTTTTTGCACTGCGGCAATGCCAATAGAAAACAGCAGCTTTCTGACACTGCGGCAGTGCCGATAGAAAACAGCAGCTTTTTTTCGCACTGCGGCAGTGCCGATAGCTTCAGCCCAAATTTACAGGGGGGAGGGGGGTGTTCGACTAGAGACCAGAGCCTTGGTCAGGGTCACAGAATTGTTTAGTCTGACGCCGTCATCATGGCGTTGAACGACAGGGAGTCCAGTCTTGTCCAACAGGGTGGGGGATGCCCTCACTTTCCAACGCTGGTGCCACCAATGCAAATTTACAAACTTGCTCTTACAATATGTGTAAACAAACCATTTTCAGTCATCCTTCCCTTGTTAGTAGAGATTATATAATTTTATATGGTAAATATTGCCATGATAAGGCTTTAAAAAAAACATACCTGTATTCGTTGTAAACTCACTGTCCCTCGCTTTTACAGACCTAACGAATGAGTTTGACACAATCATTGGCGTATATGCCAAGTCGCAATCATATCTACAAAAAAAAATCTAATCCATAAAAAATTTATGACAATCTCCATAGAACTTCCTTCTGCCAACATTGATAAAATAATAATAAAAAAAATCAAGATAAAACACAGTGACAAAAATGTTAGGTACAAATTCAAAATATGATGACAGGTATTAGTATCAGTAAGTTATGTATTGTGTATATGAAAGTGATACTGGCAACAACGACAATAAATTTCATGGTTGTACAGTAGTATGACAATACATCAGTGTTTGTGTTAATAAAATATATTACAGTACAAAAATCTTTCTCTTGTGTGTGACAATCTATATTGATAATATATTCATCTCAAGATTGTACACATTCACTTGACACATCTGCATTCTGAAACATATTGTTTTTCTAGAGGTGTGCAGACCAACTTTGTGACCAAGATGAAGAAAGAGCATACTGCTTATCCTAAAGACCACACTTTGAATGATAATTATAATTCAACTTTGAAAATGAAAACTTAAAAACATACCTTCTGACTAAAGTCCTAAATGCCAACCTGCAAAAAAAAAAAGATAACAGAAAAAACTGACTATTCTTCATACTCATCTAGAACAAAATAATCCCTAATACTTAATAGGTTCTTGACTCTTTAATTACTTGATTAAAATCATAACTGGTTGATATATTTTGTGAATTTCTATCATATAATGTTCATAGCTGAATTACAGGCTGAACTTACTTTGAATACCTCACCATTGGTGCACACATTTTTACTACCTTGTCTGATTGGAATAAGTCTTTTACAACACTTATTTTCCTTTTAGTATTGTCATAAGAAAAACGGCCATTGCTTTGGTCGATCTTATCCATGATATTGATGAAAAATGTTGCCCTCTTAGTCCTCCACAAACGTCTGCCTCCGGAAAAAAATATGTTGATGCGTGAATGAAAACCACATGGTGTTTGTTTACTTCCGGTTTGGGTCATCATCGTATACAACTTGTTGGCAAGATGGACGCGATCTTGCAAATGAACGAGGACGGTATGTTTACACTATAAATTGAATAATACTACTTTTTTTCATTGTGCTATTATTACATTGCTTTAAATGATAAAGTGGCTGTGTAGAACCCACGATAGTCCTGATTTTCATGGTTTAGTATTGTTACCCATTTCTAGGCCGTTGACCTGTGATGATAGATAGGAGCTAAGTTGGATCGTCGGCCCGGCCCAGACTGGCTTTTGCCACGTCATTTGGGTGGACAAATCATAGAGGCCTAGCCTAGGGGGCTGTTTTTCGACACAACGTTAAACAACTCCCTGGTTAATGCAATACTGAATAAGATATAAGGCTAGTGCAGCACATATTAACTATACTTGTCTCACCCCTTGGGTCTCACATATTTATTTTTATTGAAGTGTTTTTTAAAATTTATTTTACAGAAACCTTTCGTGATTTTTTGCAAGATGATTTTGATGTGAAGGCACATACGAACCATGTTATGCAGACGATGGCGATATCTGACCAGCTTTCCAAGCTGGCTGAAGGCATTAGTTTACTAGATAAAGAGTTACATTCACAGGCAAGTTTATCCGCGCATATCCACTACCATTCAAATTTATCTCTAAAAACCGTTAAATCCCAATTCATCCTTTTATTTCAAACGATATGATTGGGAATCTACCTATGTTCTATGAAATCTTCTGGTTTCTAGAAGGTTGTCCCAAATTTTCACCCAAAAAATAAACCTATAAAAAAGGAAAATAGTTGCTTTTTTGGGTTTAAAATGGAATCTGTGTGCATGCATTACACTAACATTCTAAAGAATATGGAAAACATCAGTTTAATTGCATTAACTCAAACATTGCTAAATATATACCTTTAAAAGCAATTTAGCAAATTTATGACTTATTAAAGTTTATTGAATAAGCCCTATTTATCCCCTAGGAAATTATGAATAAGCAGAATAATTTACCCCAGGGTCAACATAGACTCATGCAGTCATGTTATTTTTTGTAGCATTTTATAACTCTATCTGAGATTGCAATTTTGTTTACTTGATTTCTTATATTTACCAGGTTGCTGCACATCACAGTGACTTGCTTTCCCAGGCCACTGGAATTGAGACCCTGGATGGGGTGCTGCAGATGATGCATACAAGGATACAAGCTCTGCAGGCTGCAGTTGATAGGTACAGTAGAAATTAAATAAAATACACAGGAACATACAATAAAATATTCCCTAATTGAAACACCACACAGCCAGTTATCACCCAACAGCCACACGCAACTGATACACATCTCACTCAGACAAAGAATGATCTTTCATTCAAAACAGATCAACAGACATCTACTTTGTTAAGAGGTTGGGCAAAAGGCCAAAACCTTTCTCCTGGGGAATCACTTTACAGAAACTGATACATCCCTATACAGCCAGTATATCCCACATACTAACACATACATGTATGCAATAAAATATTGATATGTTCAAAACTAATACATATTATGTAATCTTGGCTATTTTTTAGGATAAAGAGCAAGCTTGTGGAGCCGTACAACAAGGTTGTCGCTCGTACTGCTCAACTCCGAAGACTGCAGGTTAGTCATGTCATATGTAATGGCCCAACATTTTACCATTTAACTTTGAATTGAATTTTATCAAGTGTGCTTTATGTAATGACCAAGATTGAAGCTCATACAATAGAGGCCTAGTTGGTATGCTGTGCTATATAACACTGTCAACTGTAGTTGTTTTGAAGAGAATGTGTCAGAAAATGACTATAATTAGTTTGGTACCTGTTGAAACTTCTATAGTTGTTCTAACCTTTGACAAGTTAGTTTACAAAAGCTGTTGATACATGATATTTTTAACAAGGAAAAATACATTATACAGTATAAGTAGTTTACCCTTCATCTAACCTTTGTTAATACTGATTTTATCCCATTTATTTGTTCTCAGGAGACATGTGACTTGTTGCGTCGTATTATCCGTATTTTATATCTCAGTAAGCGTCTGCATGGGCAACTTCAGGGAGGAGCAAGGGAGATTACAAAGGCAGCTCAGAGCCTAAATGAATTAGGTACAGATTGAAAGAGAGGATGATGAAGATAATAAGGATTGTATAATTTAGTAATGATATTTTTAAGATGATGATGATGATGATATCATGAGATTGAAGATAAGGATATATAATTTAATAATTATATTTTTATAATGATGATTAGGATGACGATTATGATGATGATGAAGATAATGATAAAGATGATGATGCGGATGATAATACAATGGTGCGATGACAATGCAATGACTTTGAGGGCAAATTGTGATGGTGATGATCATTTTCATGACGACAATGTCAATGACAACGGCAGCAATGGATGAATTATGGAAGAAAAATAGATGGATAATGATGATGACAAAATAAATATATTAAAAGCATGATTTCAAAATTTCAGAAGTGTTTTCTAAAATCATGTTTCAACAAATGACATTTTCTATCCAATCAGATTACCTGTACCATGGCATTGATCTTAGTGGCATTGAAGTCATTGAAGAGGACACACTGTTTATAAAGAAGGCAAGGAAGAATGTGGATAGCCAGGCTCAGAGGATGTTGGAACAAGGCATGGAAACCCACGTAAGGGAACAGTACTTACCCTGTTAGAAATCAAGTAAATTTAAAGAGTTCCAGAAAGCTGGCCTAGAATAAATTCTGCAAAAATGGTAATCACACTGAAATGTCAGATTGCCTTTTATAGGATCTTCAAAACCGCACGATGATCTGTATCTTTGCCACCATTGGTCAAGTTGTGTGCTATTGTGAAAGGAAGTACTCCTCTAGATAAACATATTTTGAGTCTAAATTGTTGATTATTGGATTGATGATCTTTTGTGTGTTTCTCTATTTCAGAATCAAACACAAGTTGCAACAGCTTTGCAGGTGTTTCACAATCTGGGCTGTTTGAAAGAAACTGTAAATAAAGTTGTAGAAGGGTGCAAAGAAACATTGCAGAAAAATATTCAAGATGCATTGAATGTTAAATCAACACAATCACAGACAAAATGTAAGTTTTAAACACTAATAATATAATAATGTGACATTTATAGTTGAGAGTCCGAGCCACAATCGTTGCGCCAACCGCAAATTATCTGTAACACAGTAGTTTGAATTTGAATATTGCAACTGTTCATATTACACCGTCATTATTTTACTCTATAGCTGGTCCAGGGCGTGCATCAATGCCCTTGCCTGGCAACACGGCAGCTTTCAGAGCAACCTTGTGGACCAACTTGGAGAAACTGATGGATCAGATTTACTCAGCCTGTGGACAGGTAAGATATCATCATCATAGTTGTCAATGTTACAAAAATCACCACCATCCATTCCTCACACCACCATTATTATCATTACCACTGTCATTGTTATCATCATCATTATCAACAGCAACTGAATTTTTCTATCATTACCAACAATGCAACTACAGTATGATCAATATCATCATTTTCATGCTCCCCATGAATAATGATTTGACCCGCTTTTTTCCCATAAGGTGCAACATCTACAGAAGGTGTTAAGTAAGAAAAGAGACCCTGTCACCCATATATGCTTCATTGAGGAATTACAAAAAGTAAGTTGTCTTATCAATCAATCCATCAATCAATCAATCAATCATAAAATATACATAGTATTTTACCTTCCACTTCTTGCTTTACATCAGGATAACCAGGCCAGCATCCTGCAATCATTTTGGGAATCAGGGACAAGTATTCTACAGAGAGAATTTTCAGTTGCTGCAGAAAGTAAGTAATTTGTTACATAAAATGCAATTACTGTATCTTATGATATTTGTAGATATTAAACTAAGGTAGTTGTTCAGTGTTCACAAATGTATAATATATACATACACCCATAACAACTGTCAATTTTCCTACTGTACCTTGGTATCTAGACTCAACGTTTATACGACAAGCCTTTGAAGGTGAATACCCTAAGCTGCTACGCCTATATAATGAGTTATGGAAACGTCTACAGCAATACAGTTCAAATCTTGTCACGCCAGCCTCAGATGTGATAGTAGATGTGAAGGACAAAGGCATGTTTGAGCAGATGAAGGATAGTGATTACAGGTAAAGATTAGTATTGGGATTGTAGATTAGTGATGGACTACAGATTTAGTGGCAATTTTTAATGAATTACCAGCATTAAAGATGTACCACCATCATACTATAATACTATAATGACCATAACTGAAAACTTAGCACACTAAAGTCATTGAAACCGAAATGTGGATTGCAAAGAAAATTAAGTGCACTTATAGAGCATTATATATTTTATTTATTATTATATTTTGGCAATTTATGGTATTTGATGTAGGAATTAACAAGCATGTATATTACAGTAGAGTATGTCCTTTGTAATTTGTTTCACTAAGAGCAAAACCAATTTCTGTTGTTTTCTGACAAATGATAAGGATTTTTTCTGGATAGGTATATGATTGTTTTTTTGTGTTCTGCATACTAGGGTTCTAGGGGGCCACATCTGCAAACAATGAATGTATTGACATGGTTTTTTTTTAAATTATTATTGTGTCTAGTCCAGAGAAAGCATTTAAATCTTCCATCAAGGCTTTTGAGAATGCCTATCTGTCAAGGTCCCTATCTAGGCTCTTTGATCCTATCAACTTAGTATTTCCTACCGGTGGGACAACACCGCCCTCACAGGATGAAGTCAATGGTATTGCAAAGACAATTGCAAGGTATGTACATCTCAGTTTATATTTAATTTTATATACAAGACTTTAATAATTTTATTTTCACAGTAAACAAATGAATTAACTGGGAAACAAAGATATATTGTAAATGATAAATAATTGATTGGAACCAATACATCCTATATTACCAACAAATTTATAGCTTTTTTCTTCTTTCTGTACAGTGAGTTATCGGTTGCTAGTGTTGATCATGGTTTAAGCATAGTGGTTGCTAGGAATGTGGCAAAGACTGTTCAGTTATTTGCTGCCAAAAGTGAACAGTTGGTAAGTTTATTTATTTATTTTATTTATTTGAACATACACCTTTGAATCAGTGGCACTTAATATCAATTGGTGCGTTCCTACAAACAAAAACAAAAAAAAAGGGTAAAATTTAAAAAACAAAATAAATAACAATCTACTGTATATAAAATTACAAAATTAAAGAAAGGTAGAAAAATAACATATGAAATTAGATGAGATCACATTTCACATCGCATTTCATACTCAGAAATACTTTACAGGTCAACTGTAAAGTAAATGCTTAAAATAACTAACCTCTTATACACATCTAGATGTGTATAAGAGACAGGTGCGATGACAATGCAATGACTTTGAGGGCAAATTGTGATGGTGATGATCATTTTCATGACGACAAAAAAAAAAAAAAAAAAAAAAAAAAAAAAAAATTAACATCACACAATTTGATAAGCAACGATACATTTACAGTAAACATACATACATTTACAGTATATAAGCAAAGTAATCCCTAGTTAATATACTTCCAAATTAACAACCCTAAATATTCATTCTTACATTCTATTCTATTGCAAAAACTACTGTATTGCATATTGTTTATGTAAAGTAGCTAGTAAATTTTGTTTTAATTACAAATCAATACATGTTTACTATAATATAACTTTAATACCAAATTTACTGGCAAAATTTAATTTAAACTCAATTGTATTATTATTTATTCCTTACTATATATCTAAAAGAATGTTGTTTCTATATTCAATTAAAAATTGACTAAACATTTATTGAAACTCATAACATGCTAACCATGGCAATGTCTAATTTAGTTAAAAGACAAAAATTCATTATTTGTTTTGCTCCTAAGCTTTCAACTGATGGTGAAGCCAGCCAGGTGATAGCACCCCCATCATCTGGTCAACAGCGCAATGTTGCTGTTGTGAATAGTCTATATAACTTCCATCAACTGATCTGTAGTCAGGTCAACAGTATGGTCAACTGTCCTGAACAAGCTGTGTCAGCTATCCAATCAGCTCTACTTGTAAGTTCTTTCTAGATGCATCATATTGTATCATTTAACAAACACATCAAGTATATAGTTATTATATAAAGGCATACTTCCATGTAAACATAACTCAACAATCCTAAACTCCTTTTGTAAATTTCAGTACGTTTGGTTTCCAACTGTAAATTCGAGCAAGAAAACATTTCGCTTCTCAGTTTAGTAGATGTGATCCCATTCCTACCGTCTTACATTTTCTGTTATCAATTCTATAGTTTTTTATAATGAGAATTTCAAAGTTTTTTAAATTTTTAAGGGTTTTTTATGCTAACTCTTTTGGGTGTACAGTATATCTTTAATAAATAGATTTGTCTCTAATACTTGCTTTTTTTCTCATTAATTTAGGATATTGTATCGTTAATGGCCAATGCTATCAAACCATTACTAAACTCAGTACTAGACTCCATTGAAGCCATCATTCTCACCATGCACAGTGAAGACTTCAAAAGGTAAGGCTAACTGCTTACTAAGACTTTATACTAAACTATAGAGGGACTATATTCAGCAAAGAGTCTTTAATGTGAGAAATGCATAATCCTGTTTTTTTTTTCCAGTGTTAAATGATCCAGTGTCTTTTTGTGAAGAACTGACAAATATTTTTGTGTTTTTTTTCCGGTGGTGTGACTAGTGGTGCAAAGGAGTCTCCCGAGAACCCTTGCTCGCTCTACATGAAGGAACTGCAGGGGTTCATAGCAAGGGTCCAAGCAGAGTATCTAACACCATTCGAATGTACAGACTTTGTCATACAGACGTAAGGAATTAAAATTCATACTGAAATTATAATTACTGTATATTTTAACTACAGGTGGGATATAAGTTTAAAATAATAGTGGTCTGAAGTAAGAGAGGGGCAACATGGATAAAGAGGATTTTAAAAATATTATGAATACAGTTTGATTGTACTTGATTTTTTTAGGCAATACAAAGTACACAAAAAAAAAAAAAATACATTAAAATCTTTGCCAAAGGATGACCAAAAAGACGTAAAACCTAATAATGAGGATTTTCTGAATTTGAGTGATAAACAATGGGTGATCATATTTATCTGCCTTTCTTGCAGTGTTCATCCAATTGCTTGTCAAGCTGTTGAACTGTTTGTGCGTCATGCTTCACTGATTCGACCTCTGGGGGACGGTGGTAAAATGCGACTTGCTGGTGATTTTGCTCAGGTGAGATTTCTTAGTATTATACTGAATAAATATCTATAATGCATGATATATATTTTTATATATGTTGTACTTATATTAAATTCATCAATATTGATTTATATGTCATTATACACCCATATAAGAGCATAAATGATGCCATATCACACCCATATAAGGACATAATGATGGCACATCCTTATATGCGCAAATCACAGGTATCCACATATGAGCTTAACATAAATATGCATCCCCTTTGCAGATGGAGTTGGCAGTGACACCACTCTGTAAGCGAGTGTCTGACTTAGGCAAGCCTTATAAATTGCTGCGTTCATTCAGGCCACTGTTGTTCCAGACATCAGAACACATCGCTAACAGTCCAGCATTAGGAGACATTATCCCACACTCAACGGCACTCCACTTCCTCTTTGCAAGGGCGCCATCAGAAATGAAATCACCTCATGAGGTAGGTTGTCTCTGATATAAGTGGGTGTTCTAGCTTTAAAATAAAATTTTGGTGTTATGGGTATATTACTTTATTATTCGGAAAACAAAAATTTTTTACAATAATATACATTGGCCAAAAATATAAATTATAGAACATCAGAATAGTCAAGTAAAGATATTGAATTCTTCATTTGCCCATATAGTAAAGTGCAGCATTATTTTGTGTACGGATGACATAGGAAATTTTTCACTCAGGACTGAAATTGGCCCACTGCGATTCTAATAGACTTTAACGTTCATTTAACGACATAATGGAATTGTTCTATTTTTAGCTTGCTGGTTGGTCTGTGTCACGGTATTCCCAATGGCTTGATGAACATACGTCAGAGAAGGAGCGCCTTGCTTTGCTAAGGTCAGAGGTTATTAAAATAGTATAAATTTAAGAAAATGCTCATTCAGTTTTCTGCTTTCCTCTTTCCCTCATGTAAATCAGTGATTCAATTCTCATCAATAAAGTTTTTCTTTTTATTGACTTTTCAGAGGTACATTGGAGGCATACGTGCAAGCAGTACGGTCCAGGCAAGGCAAGGAGTTCGCACCGACATATCCCATAATGCTTGATATTCTTCAAAAGGGATCGCAGCATATAGGGATGTAATACCTTACCAGCCTTATCAATGGCTGATCTGGGAACGTCTGTCCCCCCCCCCCTCAACCATTAAAATTGCAAGTTTTCTTCAAGAAATTATAAAATATTATTAAAAAAAATTTCTAATACACACCAGGTCATATTTGTATAAGCATCGTTTTAACTTCTTCACCCCCACACTATATATTCCTACATAATAGGAAAATTCAGCAGATAATTTTGATTGTCATATTACCAAGAAAAAATTGAATCAATCATTTCAGTTTTTTCATTTGAACTTTTATTTAAAAACATTTTATCTGTAGACTTAACATTGCCTTCATTAATGAAGGCATTTTCTTTGCGAATTTTCAGCTTCAATCATTTATAAATGTAATTGTTGCATCTTGAATATTTTTTTTACTAATGCTTATATCATATTTCATCCAGGAATGTACTATATTATTCAAATACTATTGTAAAGTGTAGATATTTAATATTACTGTATTAATATTAATTTTATTCATTTATTTTATAAAATAATTAACTGGTGAAAATATAATGGCTAAAAGTGGCAGCTCGATACAAAGCAGCTGACAGTGTTTATCTGAAACCAGCAAGTATGTTTGACTATGTAAAATATTTTCAGAGTTCAAAAGTTGTGAAGTCATTTCTGGGGGATCTGTAACTAACTTTCATAGCACATCTAATTTTGTTTTGCTGCTTATGGTGGTGCGAGACAAATGATAATAAAGGGGTAATACAGTAGTAAAAACAAGCAGATTTAATTTATTTGCGGAAAAAATCTTTTTCCTGGGGGAGTGGAAGGCCTGGGAAAACCCTGTATTTTTTAAAACTGGGGTTCAAAAAACAACTTCTGGATGAACAAGCTGGTATAGAATAAATTGATGTGAATCTTTGAGAAATCATTTAGTTGATTTCTCAAAGGTGGAATACTGAATATTGAAGAAAGTTCAACATTTTCAAAACTACAAACTACAAGTTTCAATTTTGTTGTATTTGTTCTGGTGTGTATTCTATAAAATAAGTATAAATAAATAAACAATCAATCACTGCCCTTGAATGGTGATGTACCATGAAACATCTGACCCTGGGTGTGTATTTCTTTGAGTTTTAGTGTGGGTTACAATCATAAAAATAATGTGCCCATCCCATTGTGCCTGTCAATTTGGCGAACCACTCGATAGAGATTTGAATCTCTTTGGGAAGTCTACCTCCTTTTTGTTTTTTTTTTGTAATCTGTTGAGGCAAATAAATGAATTGAGTTGTGGCTTGGACTCCAAACATTGAGGTCGGGGGTTCAAGTCTCTGGGGGTTCAAGTCTCTCGCTGTGCAAGCCGCTTGTGTCCTTAGGCAAGGCACTTTATCTACGGTTTTGTCTCTCTCCACCCAGGAGTACAAGTGGGTACTTGGTAGGTTCAAACACAACCATGTGCTGATTACAGCTGCAACATTATGGAATTCCCCCCTTCTGGCCTGAGTGTGTGTTCCACATGTGCTTGATCCAGTGACCGGGAGTAATAATGCTAAGCGCATAGAGGTCTCTACAATATGCGCTATGTAAGTCGACAATTACTGTATTATATTATTATTTATGGTGGGTTACTATTAGAGCACAAATTTTACAGTACTGTATCTGTGGGTATGTATACATGTGTACATGTTTATGCCGAGTTTATAGACTACAAGTAAATGGCCAGGCATACCATTCATCATACATAAGGTAAAAAAGAAAGAGTGTATGCAACTTAGTTAACCACAGAGATTAAAATGGCTGAAACTCTAGACACCCACTTTATAGAAGGGTAATCTCCAAACCACACCCTCTCACACCATGCTCCCCAGCAGTATCATCATGCTTAAATGTTTGTTGCAGGCACATTTACTTAAATTCCTCGTTTGTTTACAAATGGTCAATTAAGAAAAGCCAAGAAACAATTTTAAAAGCAATATCTTTTTTATAAACACACTGAACGTTTTAGTTTCTTTCAAAAACAGACATCAAGGTACTAAAAGACATCAAGGTACTAAAAAACATCAAGGTACAAGCTCTGATTAATATACAATGTATATGAATGGACGTTTCTGCTAAGCCTCACTCCTTGGATATTGTTGCTAAGGCCCCCACAAAACAATAGTGTACATTTAAAAATATGTGTTCCTGGCACTGTTCTGATTGGTCAATAAGGCTGATTGACACTCAAGTAAGGTCCACTGTCCTTACATTTAGTGGTGTTTCAAAAACACACTGGTAACAGTTATACAATTATGAGGGCAATCTTTAGCACATGTTCTTTGGAGAACATTTGATCTTAAGAAACAGTACAGTCAGTAAATGTTATACAGTACTACGATAAAGTACAAAAAAAAAAACCAAAGTTATAAGCAATAGTAAGTACGCAATACTGTATATGAATTGCCTTTACATTTAGTGGAATTTTTCAAAAATAGCGTACTGGTAATAGTTAAAGAAATGAGGGCAGTGTTTAGCACACGTTCTTTGGAGAACATTCAATCTTAAAAAAACAGTACAGCAGTGGTGGCGCCAGCAGTTTAATTAAATAATAATTTGCCCATCCAAATAATGCTATTTTGATTGCCAATTCATAATATTGTGGTCTAAAAGCACATTTAGGCCAAATTAAGCCATAAAAACTCTCCCCATGAACCCTAACAGCAATTTTTTTTAAAATTCCGGGCCATCACCTTGGTTTGGACCCCTCCGTCAGACACTCTGGACCCCTTGCCGGCAAATTTTTGGCACCACCACTGCAGTACAGTAAATGGTACACTACGATAGCCTTAAAGGCTAAAAGTACAAAAAAAAAACCAAAGTTACAAGCAATACTAAGTATGCAATACTGTACTGTACATGAATTTCCTTTACATTTAGTGGAATTTTTTTAAAATACAGTACTGGTAGTAGTTAAACAAATGAGGGCAGTGTTTAGCATGCATTCTTTGCAGAACATCAAAACCTTAAAAAACAGTTAAATTTTGACTATGATAAATGGCTACAATATCTTAACATCGACTATACAGCAAAGCATTCATAATACAACAAACACTAAAGCTCTGTCCACACTATCAAATTTTCTTTGATATATAATCTGTTGTATGCCCTTATATAGTCATGATGTGCCTATATATGGTCATGATGTGATGTCATCATGACCATATTTAGGCAGGTCACATGTTTTTTTCTGGACAGGGCTTAAAGCTGTCCACACAATCAAATTTTATGAGACCACATCACACTAATTTACATAAAATTTGATAGTGTGTGACTGAGCTTAAAGCCCTGCCTTCACTATCAAATATTATTCGACAACAAACTGTTGTATGCTCATATATAATCATGATGTGCCTATATAATATGTGGCAAAGACAAGCCAAACCAGTCACTCGTCGCAAAAATCGACTTTGAGTTATTAATACAGTGTTAGAGAGTAAAATAATAGCTATAAAATGGTAAAAAAATCATTCAAATCGGACATTTCCTTATGAAGTTACAAGCGTTTAAACATACAGCAGTTTAAAGAACAATATATGAGAAATCAGCCTTCAAAGTTTATGATTTCAGGCATTTCTCATGCAGAAACTATCATCAAATCTTTAAAAAGTGTTGCTTTCACATTGAAAATGGGGAAAATAACAGCATAGAATGATGTATAGATATGTAAAGATATAGTTTAGTGCAACTAGATTTTTAAAAAAAATTTGACATTCCAGCATGTTTTGGCCATTTTCTCTGAAACACGATTTGCGACGAGTGACTGGTTTGGCTTGTCTTTGCCACATATGGTCATGAAGTGATGTCATCATGACCATATTTAGGCATGTCACATGTTTTTGTCAAATAAAGTTTGAAAGTTTAGACAGGACTTAAGAACAGGTTGGATTGGTGCTGGTGGAGGAACAAATAAACGATAGTGCTGGTGGTTATTAACTACTACAATCTACAAAGACAATATATAGGCGGTAACAATATAACATTTACACATTGACAAGGGGTATACTATGCAAAAATGTTCATGAACAACTGATTAAATGGACACAGATGGGTCTAGGTGGTGCTGTATTTTCATAAATACAAAGCAACGAAATGTTTCTAATTGGCATCAAATAATAACAAAATTATATTTAAAAAAATTAAATTATTACAAAGAAAAAAAACCATTTTTAATGGAATATTGTTCAATTTTCTAATTGGTATCAACTAAATTATATTAAAAAAAATTAAAATACAAAAAAAGAAAATAATATTAATGGAATATTGTTCAATTTAAAAGAAAAAATATTCAAAATAATAAGGTCCAATTTAAGGAGAGAAAAAAAAAATGTGTTCAATTTAATTCACCTTATATTATTGAATACATATGATAAAACTATAAAGCTACTACTGAACAATGAAATTTTGTTATCTATATTTATGAGGTATGTAATACTGTTAATTGTATTGAAAGCGATTGAGTTGTATAGCATTAATTTTAAAATATTGAGTAATAACACTAAAAATGTCGACACTGATGTTTGTAAAAAATTTAAATCATCTTTGTACCATAGAAAATATAGAGCTGCTACTATACAGAATAAAATAAACTATCATTTTCTTTTAAACAAAAAATTGCATTTTTAAATCTAGTAACATACAGACAGGACTATTACAAAGAACTCATACATAGTCTTTATAATACAAATATATAAAGCTGCCACTGTAACAAATAAAATAAACTATATTTTTAAAACAAAAATAGCATTTTTTTAAAGCCAGCCTAGCTAGCAACACACGAACATGACTGTGTTACAAAGAACTTAAAAAGACATTTCAGCACGTATATGAATCGTATAAGGCTAAGCCACCCTATTAATACTGTCTATTCCCAGTGGCTAGCTTTTATTAATACTGTCTTCTTTATTGAAAGCTCTACAGCTGAATATGTAAACAATTAATTAATTTTCAAGAGATAGTAATAATATATTATCAAGAGATAAAATAGTATATGAATGAAAATACATTGATGTATATTTATTTGGTCCATTCACATAAATCTTAAATTTCATTTGTCTACAGTGATCATCTTAGGGGTATGTATATTCTAGCAGAGGAGGTGGGCCATCTTCTACAAGCTCAATGAGAGGAGGTGGCTCATCTGAGGTCCACATCAAATGTGTACCATCATTGCTGTCAATTGCAATGTCTAATTTTGGCACATTATCAGAGGCCTCCGGGACAAAGCTTGGAGCTGTTATCAGACATTCCAACTCTGGTAGGTCATCAAATTCACCTTCTCTCTCTCCCAACTTTTGTTGTTCTTGACACTGGATCCAATTAGTTTCATTGGAATCTTGAATTTCAAAAGAAGGTTTAGAATTTTCAAGCTGACATTCTGCTTGATCACACTGAACCTCTTCTACAGTAGCTTGACTGGCACTTAATGTCATATTTTCTGGTGCCTTCTTTGGAAATCCAGTTTGCACTGGAAATAGGTCAAATTCATCCTCATGCTCTGTTAGTTCAAACCATGACAATTTATTTGTCTTTACATCAAGAAATGAAATATCCAAGCTATCATTATCATTAGCATCTAAAGGTTGTTTTCTAGCATCATCAATATCAGAAGCAGCCCCATCAGGAAAAGATGGATGTTTACCAGTATTATCGGTGACAGCATGGAGTTTGCCGGCATCATTATCCTGAGTAGAAAGATGATAATCAGTATCATCATTGACAGCAAAAGGAAGTTTACCAGGATTATCTTCATTGACAGCTCTAGGTTGGTTGCCAGCATCAAGAACAGAAGGATGTTTACCAGCATCGTCATTACAAGCAGAAGCATGTATGGTAGCACCGTCCTCAAGAGAAACAGAATTTTTAGTATCACCAACATTGATACATAAATTAATGGTTTTAAGATCCTCAACAGTAGAAACAACTTTCTTTTCAACATCATTATTAATAGCAGAGTGTTTGCCAGTATCATCACTGGCATCAAAATTGCATTTCCCAGAATCTTCATCAACAGCAGAAAGATGTTTGCTATTGCCACTATTGACAGTAGATGGATTTTTTACACGCTCATCATTAACAGCAGAAAGGACACCATGAACAACAGGATGTTTTCCATCATCATCAGAAACATCAGAATGATCTTTGCCAGTATTATCAGGATGTATGTCAGCACTGACATTAACAGCAGAAGTATGATTGATAGCAATACCTCCGACATCAGAAGGACACTTTGCACAATCATTATCAACAGCAGAAGGATGTTTGCCATCACCAATGTCAATGGAATTATTCTGTTCATCCTCACCATTGACAGCAGGAAAACCTTTTTCAATTTTACCATTAACAGCTAAATGTTTGCTATTACCATCATTGACATCAGACAAATGTTTGCCATCAACAGCAGGGTGCATGACTGCATAAATGTCATCAGAAGGATGTTTGTCAACTTCATTATTGGAGGTGTGTGGGCCAATGTCAATATTAAATGCCAGTTCCTTTAATTGGCAAACTTCCATTTCTGGCAACACAGATGTATGTGAAGTGGTCAAAACTGGATCAACAGAACTTCCATCAATGTCAATAACTGATTGATGTTGTTTCGTCCTCCCAAAAATTTCCTCCTGTAAATTGACTAATTGCTTGCTTATGACACCACTAACCCACCTGCTGACATAGGAGTCAGAATCCTCACTGTCAGAGAAGGTTATCAAATCCTTCATCTGTTTAGGTTTGTCAGCTTTAACAGCTTCATCAGAACTATTAGCATCAGGTTGATGGTCATCAACCAAGTTGCTTATTATCTTGTCAAAAACTTCATCCATGGAACAAGCACTTGATGTATTTCTGCTCTGTGGAGTCATTGAAGACTCTTTTCCCTTTTCAATTCTGTCACATTCATTTATCATGTGGTCATCCTGGAAAAATAATTGTTGATCAAGTTATGTCATGGCACAAGAAATGAAAGATTTTTTTTATTCCTTTAACATCCACCAACAAGGTCAATAAACTGTGACTCTTTATAAGGCTTAAAGAAAAATATGAAGCTGATTAGGTGAGACTTTTTTTATACCTTGCTTAGCGAACGAACCCCCCAAGAGCAAAAAATTGTGATTTTGAATAAAAACTAAATTTTATTTTTGGCCAGTTACCACACCCTCCTCCACGAAAAAAAGAGACAGGTTATCAGACATTCCAACTCTGGTAGGTCATCAAATTCACCTTCTCTCTCTCCCAACTTTTGTTCTTCTTGACACTGGATCCAATTAGTTTCATTGGAATTTATCAATCACATTACTACACTGTTCAAATTCATTATTAACATTTTATTTTTTTGTCCAACTAGATGGTTTTGTCAAAATCATTTTGCTAAATGAGAAAACAAAATTTTATTTTTATTTTTTTCCCGCCTTCCTCTGAAAATCTTGAAAAAATAATTTCGGAAAACAAGGTATAAAAACATTCTCACCTTACTTTCAAATATTTTTACTTTATATTGAAACCTCTATCACAAGTCATTATAGTCACTGTTGTTCATAAGTGTAGAGAAACCTTTACAATGCAAAATATGTATAATAAAAAGTGACAATGAAGTATTTGTAAGACCAATTCAAATATGTTAAAGTTAAATACTGTATTTGGTTAGTCATAAACATGGTGATATGAAATTAATAGTTGGGCTAATAGGCATGAGATGGTAATGGGACAGGTTAGGTTAATAAGAGTTAGGAAATACAGGTTTGGTTTACCTATAAAGCAACATGTCCACTCATACAACTCTCAATGGAATGATGTCATTAGTCTCATTCTCCATGCATCACTATCCTGTATCACTGCATATTTTTTTTTAATGGATGTTAATTGAACAAACAATGATAGGAAAACAAACCATTAAATTAGGCAATTGTTACAGAATTGTATCTCATGAATCGAAACCAACCTCCAGCGTTGTTATGTTACTTTCTACTACCTTTCTGTATCCTTGTTTTAGCAGAGAATTGTCAGTATTCTTGCCATCTGGTGTCACTATTGGTGAAATGATTTTCTGATTGTCTCTGTGATCTTTCAGCTTCAAGCCATTATCATTCCTTTCATCTGCCAAACCCACTGTTGCTGTGCCTTCCTTGAGTTCCTTTAAGCAGACATCAATCTGACAGTCATCAGAAGAACAATACCTTGTTTCTTGGAAAACTTCCTGTTCATTTGATACAAAATCCAACAGATGACTGCTGTTAGGTGATGATGATGCAGACTCACGGCTATGCAGGTGCTCATGGTATTTTGTGATATTGTCCAATCCCCACATTAAATTTGTTTCTTCACATTTTGTTGAAGCAAACTCCAACTGATTACAACTGATAGCACCAGCCACCTTATTCACATACTGTTCATTATGCGTTAACAAATTTGAATCAGATGCATTCTCCTCACCAGCAATGGATATAATTCCAGTTGCTTCACTTTTCTGAGGAACATCACTGCAACTATATGGTTTATTTCCAGTACCAGATGTTTTATCCTCTCCTTCTCTGCTCCCTAATATCCCTAAATCTCTCAATAAGTCTGACAAACTTTGATCTTTCTCAGCTTTGATATCCTCTTTGATTTGTATTTTTTCGTCATCTGCTTGTTCCTCCTTTGAACTGAATTCTTCCTTCTTTTGCATGCCATCACTAGGCATGTCATAAAATGATTTCTCAAGCCTAATGAGTTCCACCTCATCTTGTACATCTTCCTTTATCTGCATTTTTGTGTTGCTTGCTTGTTCCTCCTTTGAAATAATGTCTCTTTCTTTCTCTTGTTTACCACCACTAGGCATGTCATAATATGATTTCGCAAGCCTAATGAGTTTCATCTCATCTTGTACATCATTCTGATCTTTGATATCTTCCTTGATTTGCATTTTTGTGTCACTTGCTTGTTCTTCCTTTGAATTAATGTCTCTTTCTTTCTCTTGTTTGCCATCACTAAACATGTCATAACATGATTTCTCAAGCTTAATGAATTTCATCTCATCTTGTACATCTTTCTGATCTTTGATATCTTCCTTGATTTGCATTTTTGTGTCACTTTCTTGTTCCTCCTTTGAATTAATGTCTCTTACTTTCTCTTGTTTGCCATCACTAGGCATGTTATAACATGATTTCTCAAACCTAATGAGTTCCATCTCATCTTGTACATCTTTCTGATCCTTGACATCTTCCTTGACTTGCACTTTTGTGTCACTTGCTTTTGTCTGTTCTTCCTTTGACTTAATGTCTCTTTCTTTCTCTTGTTTGCCATTACTAGGCATGTCATAAAATGACTTAATGAGTTCCATCTCACCTTGTACATCTTTCTGATCTGTGACATCCTCCTTGATTTGCATTTTTGTGTCATCTGCTTGTTCCTCCTTTGAATTGATGTCTTCTTTCTCTTGCTCACCATCACTAGGCATGTCATAAAATGACTTCTCAAGCCTAATGAGTTCCATCTCATCTTGTCCATCAAGGTCTGGTAATTCACATCCAACATAGGCGTTGTTCCTCACACAATAAGTTAGCATTGCTAACCATTTTGGATCCTGACAATATAAGAACAATTTACTTTTAGTAGACATTTAAATATTGTATTTCATGGCATTTGATTCAATTTGTTTTCATAAAGTTAAAGTTTGTCAACCATCTTAGGCAAGAATATTTACACCCTGTTTTTCAAACCTGGTCAAACAATAATCAGGAAGTTAAATTATCCCAAGTTTTTTAAATATTAAAAAATCTGTATCCTATGAACTGTTTCCAGGCCATTTTGTCAGACACCATTTCAGTGTCTTAAAAAAATCTTGAGCAACATATCAACAAATATTTTCCCCTGGAGCCTGGCTTTAAAAAGATCCGAAAAAGACGATAAAAAATAGTTATAACCTTGACCAGGACATTTGGATTTCCAACTATAATCAAAAGACCTTGAGCACGGGTCACAGAAACATTGAAGCGTTTCGGATTGCTAAGAAAACCAAGCTTGTGTCGAAGGTCAAATCCAATATATTCTTCACCAGACCGTACCTAAAATTAAGAGATAAAAAAGTTTAAAAAGTACATTACAACCACTGGCTAGGGTAACACTAGAGCCTTAATGTCCAGACGGGGAGCTAAGTGTTAGCAAACCATTAGCGAGCGTGAGAACACCCGATCCGTTAGCTCTAACTGTTTCTAGGAAGTGGATATGCTATTGGTTAGCGAGTGACTTTATTTCTATCATTAACCAATCAGACGTGTGCATTTCAAATTTCCTATAGGCCAGTGATTCTACTGTCATCTTCTTGATATCTGAATCAGCTGTGAGCGCGTATGTCATTAATCGGGATCCTGCTAGCCGTTAGATACACCATCAGATCTGTTCAGTATTTTATGAAGAACACTTACAGTTGAAATTATAATAACTGGTTTCTCTTGTCCTTGAAATTCTTCCACAGAGCCTACCTTCACCCCATCAATGTCAACACTCCTCAGTAAAACATGTATCTTTTCAACCTATAAGAAATTAAAATTGAGTAAAATTTTGAAAATTATATTCAAAATTTTATAGCCTAATAAAAAAAAATAGAAATGCTCCTTTTACCCTGTGAAATAAAAGCATCCTCCCCACAGTGTGATTTTGTCTCTGAAAATTGATAAGTAGTGAAATATTCATTATGCAAATGAGCAATTAGCATATTCACACCCACACCCACACACACACACACCAAAAACAACTCCATCATCCTTATTGCCATCTTCTAACTAAATTTGAAATTTTTTATTGGAAGTATGAGCAATAAGCATATTTTTGATAAATAACATTGTCTATCCATTGATACAAAATATACTTTTTGTATCTTTATGTTCAAGTTATGTTTTTGGAGGCAAAAAAATGATATTTTTTTTTTTTTAGGGATGCAAATTGTATTATAAATTAAGACCTTTCCAAAAATACCAACTAAACACGTTGTCATTTTCTGAAAGTAACCTGGACTATATCCACATCAAATCACCACCTGTTTAATCAGGTATGTCCTTACGGAAACAGGTATTAATCCAGGAATATATGAACATTCAGAGGAAAAACCCAGGATGAAGCTACGCCTCTGTTACCAGCACAATACTGTATTGGATTACCAGGGGTTCCAAGTTGGAAGAAGTCATTTCTGGGAGATCTGCAGTGGCTAATCCAGGAATTCGAAATGGGGGGGGGGGAGGCAGGGAGGGACTTTCACATGTGATGAGTAGGCCTACCTGTGGTGGGAGAGTTGGGACCTCTGGCACTACTCTTTTAATATCACCTGAAATTCACATCTTTGTTGCACAACGATCTCGCATTAGTATGAAAAAAACGGTAGGCAAGAATTAGGTATTGTGGTCAAAAATAATGGTAAGGCGATGATTGTTAGACATCTTATATTTGTAAAAATTATTATTAATTTGAGAAGCTCTCTTACAAATAAGTGTGGTAATTTTTTTATGCATGTGGTTTCAGCATGCCTTCCATGATATGTTTAAGATTACCTAACCATTTATGAGGCACTGAGACAAAATTTGCAAAATGGTTTGTATGACTATTGTAGGTTATCCAGTATTACTCATAGAAATTTAGAGCTTTTTACTTTATTGGAGAATATTGTGCCTGTCACCTAAGGCGAGACTTTTTTATACCTGGTTTCACAAACTTATTTTTTTTTTTTAAGAGGGTGGGAAAATAATAAAAATAATTTTTTTTTTCTTATTTAGCAAATAATTTTTGCCAAAAACATCCAGATAGAGAAGAAAATAAAAATAAAATGTTATTGGAGAATGTAAACAGTGTAGTAATGAGATGGTTAAATGTTTTAAAGGCAGTGGTTAGCGTTATAAAAAATTAAAAAAAACTTTTATTTTTTATGCAATTTCCCTTTTTTCATGATCATTCAAGCATGAAATTGAATTTAAATAGATCATGTGAAACTAGAAATTGCAAATTGCAAGTGAAGTGATGCGAAGTAAAACTGCATAAAATGTTCTTCGAACAAAATTATTTATGCGAGTCAAGTGAAAATAATGAATAATAAAAATATAACAAATAATATGAGACACGACCCATTGTCTATATTAGAACAGT